TAACCCAATATCTGAAGCAGATATTGCATTTATCATGTTAAGTTCATTGTCTGCCTAGTTTCCAAGCCCCTCGTCCCTGTACTGTTCTCAAACTTTTGCAGACTCAGAGAGAAGTGTCTTCTTTTGTAGATTGTTCAAAGAATGTAGATTAAATTTTTTTAAATTAGGTTTTCACATGATAACATGAATGATCAAACCTTATGCCTGATATAGAGAGGCATGGTGGCCTCATGGTTAGTGCACTTGACTCTGGATTGAGTGGTCTAAATTCGAGCCCTGTATTCTTGGGCAAGACACTTTATTCTCACAGTGCCTCTCTTCACCCAGGAGTATAAATGGGTACCAGCAAATTTAATGCTGGTGGTAACCCTATGATAGACTGACATTTCCATCCAGGAGGGAATAGAAATACTCCTGGCGTAGTGGTTTCATGATTCAGACACTGGATTTAAGCGCCAGCCCGATTGCCCAATGAGCCACTTGGCTTGTAAACAGGCTTTACCTTTTACCATGCCCGACATAATTATCTGCCTCAGCCTTTGGCTTTAGCAGATAACTCAGACCTCAGTTTTGATAACAAATAAGTGCTTCTAGTTGTAAGGAAATATACATGGACATTTGTCTGCAGACATCATCTGTTCCAAGATGTGCACAGTTTTCTGAGAGCAAAGCTCAAGGAAAACTTTGAGCTTCCTTCAAATATTTTGTAATGCACATGAAAAATGTTTCTAAACAGCTAACTGTTTGCTGTGCAGGATGTTTTCAGTGTTTTCTGGTGCACTTTAATGAACAAACAAATATTTCCCTTCTTGTGTAACAATCATAAAATGCTCTCTCTTATCCTGAATCAGATTTTAAACGAAGACAAGTATGAAGTGGACTTAAAGTTTGAAAATTGACAGGTGCAAAATTTGACAAGGACTAATCATATTGGTATTATAAGGAAGTGCTGTATATAAATTTTCATCAGGCTTTTCTTTTCGTTCATATTCTAGATTCATATTGCTTGTACTAAATACTATTAACATTTTTTTAAAAACATTTTTACCAAAATATTATTTCCATCAAAATTTTTTGAAACGTACAGTTTAAGGAGTACTCATATAGAGATAAATTTCAATGTATTTACTTGGTAGATCTGTACACTTATGTTATTTACTGATTATTAAATATGCACTAAGCAAATATAACAATCTTAGACTTCTTGTTTTAATGGCCAAGATCAGTTTTCTTCCTTTTTCTAAAACATGGGTAGTCATTGGTTTGGGATGTTTACAAGATTTTGCTGCTTCCTAACAAAAAAGCAAGAACCCTTGTTTTTTATTTATGAAACCTCATTTTGGTTTCTGTTTCTGAGGAATGATAAACACTTACTGTTGTATGATTTGCAGTTAATCTTGGTTTTTTCATGGTTCTACGTCCGTTACTATCAAGACCACGCTCAGTCTGATGTGTCCACCACACTCACAGCTATTTTGGCCCTCAGTGTTTGTCTTCTTACAGTTGCACTGGTTCCCGTGGATATTTTTTTAGTGTCCTACATGAAAAATGATGATGGGAGCTGGAAGGTATGTAAAACATATGAAAATGAAAATCACTAGATATTGAATATGTCATTACTTTGGTCTGTTCAGATAAAGGGAAACTGATGAATAAAAAAATCCAATGCTGTTAACATTTTTTACATTAGGATACACTGATAAGTAAACCATAGTTATAAGTCAAAGTGTTAGCGTTTCCATGATTTCTGGAAAAAAAATTTTTAGGCAGGTTCAATCTAATACATTCTCAATTGGCTGTTTTTCAGTTCATATTTATACTAGAGACAAAAATTAAAAGTTATAGGTCAGATAATTAACCTCCCTGAGGTAATCTAAACTTTCAGGTGGTCCTTTATTTGCAGGAATGGAGTGATAATGAGGATGTAAGAAATGAGTTTACACAAACAACTGCAGTAGGATATTATGGTGAATTGCACTATTAAATATAGCATTAAACTCTCATTCAAAATATGTCAGTTTGGATTAAGTAATGTACAGTTGCAAAAAACAGATAACATTAAGGAATGAAGTTACAGTGTTCTTCATTTCAGTCTTTATACCAGCAGATAATATGTGTAACTTAGATTGGAAAATAAGGAAACAAATGAAGTTAAAGAAAAACAAAACAATTAAGCCAGAGATCACAGTCCAATGTAAAGCTTACATAAATCCCACCTGTCCAGTCTTCTTTGTACTTGTAGCTGTTAAGAATTTAGAAATTTATTCGGAATTGTTTTGTCTTAAATACTCTGAGATGCTTGTTAATTGCTTATATTTATCTTCTTTGTGCTTTTATCTTGCAGTGCTGTATTCCATGGTCGCTTTGTTAGCATTTGTAGTAATGCCATTCATGTATTTCTACTATGAAGAAAAAGATGAAGATGCCACCACCCGACAGGTATGAGAAGTTTTTCAATAACTCTGCATACTTCTAACAAGAGCTGGAGGCAGTCATAAATAACCATTGAGAAATTTGTGTTGTGGTTTTGTTACAGAGGATGTGTGGTGCCTTGAAGTACACTATTGGGTTTTTGATAGTTGGCATCATCCTTCTCCTTGTTGGGTAAGGGTCACAGTTATCATACTTGTGAATTTATCTGTAAATGTTACCATATATTTTATTTAAAATATGAATATTACTTGAAGGGGTCTTCCAGTTCAAGAATTGCATAATCTTTAAGTTTTTGTGTGTAGATTACAGTGTGTAAGATGATAAAGGTATTGATGATTTTGATTTGCAGAGCCTTTGCACCACTGAAGAAACCTCCAGAAAATGTGACGCATTGGGACAAGAGACTTTTGTTCATGAAAGATGAATTATTACACTCTGAACGTAAGAAGATTTGATCATATGTATTATCTTAGTAAAGGCTGATAGTTTCTAAAGAAACTGTTCGGGGCTGAGTCAGTGGGGGTAACAAATTATGTATTATCTTAAGGCTGGAGGGGATTTATGAACAAATTTAGATGCTGCTTTGCTCAAAACATAATAATTTATTATTCTCTTTTAACTAAAAAATATGACTGTTGTATAATCTAAACACATATCAGTAAAGGTTACTAATTTGTTTTGCTTTTAGGTGGTGAAACTTCTCTGGCCCTGGTCATGGGCTTTCTCTCCTTCATTGGCATGTTAATCATGATCACATACACTGTAAGTGTTCTACACTTGCTGTCACTTTACCTTTATCAATATTAGTTTAAAAAGAGGATAATTATCATGAATGAAAAATGTTTGGAGTAGTCAATGTAATTAAGCTTTAAGTTATTGGTTTATTCTTGTTTCAGGCTTATGGCATGACTTCTCTGCCTTTTTCCATGCTGAAAGGATTCAAGAACTCCAAGGTAATTGATGACGCATTGTGATCCCTAAGTTACAATATTTGATGCTATCTGACACTGGATATTTGTCTTTATCTCGCTCTATCCCTCTCTTTGTGTCTTTCTCCATTCCTTTTTCTCTTCAGCATTTAACCAGAGCTTGGGATTCGCACCCTCTCTTGTTTCTCTCATGTATTTTTGTGTTATATTTTCCAGACCTGTGTTCAATATTTATTCTTTTCAACACTTTCAGTAATCTAGAGCTACATTCTGTAAATTTAAACCATTGTTTTTCAGAAAGAGCACTTGGAGGTCAGCCAGGATCGAGAATCAGTAGAGGAGCGTGCCCGAATGATCCGTGCTAATTATATGGATGGTTGTCCCATGAGCGGTCATGATAGGAGGACCCTAACAAGGCTGGAAGGAGAGGAAAAACTTCTTGTCAGAAGAGAGAGACATCTTCAGGCTGCCAACCTTGGCTGGCTTAATAAGTGCTTGCAGTGCTGTCGTCCTTTTGAAGTTGTATTTGGAGTGTTCTTTTTGTTGTTAGGTCTTCTAATTATTGTATCCCTGTTTCTCACGAGGCAAGTTTTGATATTCAAGTCTTCTTTCATTGATTGACTAAACAAAACCCTTTTGATGAGATTCAAGTGTTAATTTTTATGTAAAAACACTACTCTTTCAGCTTGGACAAGGCCCTGAATTCATTGGGCTACAAGTTTGGTTATGCACTTCCCAAACCCCAGCTTCCAAATCCTATCAACATCATTATGGTGTATGCACAGAAGGTAACAATATATAAATTTTGTTCTTAAGTCTAACTCTGAGGAAAGAGATGTTGAATGTTTTCCAGGAGTATAAGGAAAAGGAAATATAAGAGTCCTTCATAACGATTCAAACCCCAGTTGCTTCTGATCTTTTAGCTGGATACTCTAGACTAGTAAATGAGTTGAACAGAGACATTGTGGGCAAGTTAGGCTGAGTACAAAGTTCATCATCCTGAACAGTGTTAAGATCAAAATGTTGAAAGTATCCTGTTTGTATTTCGAGCAGCACAGGTGGTAGAGGTTAGTCTGGTCTTTAAGTGAAAAAAGATTGTCAAACAATGATTTTGTCTTGAGAATGGGGTGAGGAAAAATTGTGATTTATCATAACAGAACTTTCAATCTCAGATTAAGTTTTTGTAATGTTTTAGGTTTTTCCTCTGGACTACTGCTTGTTTGTGGCTATTGTCCTCTACTTCCTCTATTGCACCATGGCAGGAATCAGAGCAATCAGCATACGCTGCTGCTGGATCAAAGTATCCTTACAGCTGGGCTGAATTTCAAATTTCAAAGAAGCTTGATTTTTGTTCCCTTGCGTAGAGTTTTAAAGGTAGGATGGCCAAGAGGTCAGGGATGAACTAGCTTTCCATTGGGGAGAAGAAACTGTGCTCTTGAAAAATTCATGATACAGAATCTGAATAAACTCCAGTGGCAGTGGGGGACATTACTGGTATTACAAAATAGAATTGTTTAAATTAAACATTTATATAGAATCTTTATCATATACAATGAATATATGAAGTTCATATATTTTGAACTGCGGTATTAGATACGTATGATGCACGATCCTCGCAGTAGATAGCGCTATTTATGCAATAGCGAAAATCAGACCTGAAAGAAAAAAAATCAGGCCAGTACGGGATTCGAACCACTGACCTCTGTGATACTAGTGCAGCGTTCTACCAATTGAGCTAACAAGCCAACTGGGAACATGCCGTTAAGTTGATTTGTAATAAACCCGTGATGATAAATCAGATACAATGAATATATACAGTTCATATATTTTGAACTGCGGTATTAGATACGTATGATGCACGATCCTCGCAGTAGATAGCGCTATTTATGCAATAGCGAAAATCAGACCTGAAAGAAAAAAAATCAGGCCAGTACGGGATTC